GTAAGCAAACTGGGAGAGCAAGGAATAGTTCATCTGTCAGATTTATGGAGAACAGAAAAATTCATGACCAAACAGGAGATAGAGAGCATTATGAAATGCAAAATGGATAGTTTTGATTACATTAAATTGAAAAGTTTTTGCACAAACAAAGCCAATGCAACCAAGATAAGAAGAAAAGTAGAAAATTGGGAAAGAATTTTTACAACCAGTGTCTCTGATGAGGGCCTGATTTCTAAAATATGTAGAGAATTAAGTCAAATTTTTAAGAATACAAGTCATTCCTCAAATGATAAATGGTGAAAGGATATGAACAGGTAGTTCTCAGATGAAGAAATTAAAGCCATCTATAATCATATGAAAAAATGCTCTAAATCATTATTGATTAGAGAGAGGCAAATCAAAATGACTCTGAGGTACCACCTCACACCTATCAGATTAGCCAATATGACAAAACAGGAAAATGATAAGTGTTGGAGAAGATGTGGGAAAATTGGAACACTAATGCATTGTTGGTGGAGTTGTGAAATGATCCAACCATTTTGGAGAGCAATTTGAAACTATGCCAAAGGGCTGTAAAATGTTCGGGCTGTATCCCAAAGAGAACATACAAATGAGAAAAGGACCCACATGTACAAAAATATTTATAAGAGCTCTTTTAGTGGTGGCAAAGAATTGGAAATTGAGGGGATGCCCATCTATTGGGGAATGGCTGAACAAGTTGTGGTAAATGAATGTAATGGAATACTTTTGTGCTGTAAGAAATGATGAGCAGGCAGACTTCAGAAAAACCTGGAAAGACTTGTGTGGTCTGATGCTGAGTGAAGTGAGCAAAACCAGGGGAACGTTGTACACAGTAACAGCCACGTTGTGCGATAACTGACTTTGATAGACTTAGCCCTTCTTAGCAATACAAGGATCTAAGACATCTCCAAAGACCTCATGATGGAAAATGCTATCCTCATCCAAAAAAAGAACTATGGAGTCTGAATGTAGATCGAAGCAGACTATTTGCTCTTTTTTTTCTTCTGTTGAGTTTTGTTTCCTTTTTCTGGTAGTTCCTTCTATGGGTTCTAATTCTTCCTTACAACATCGCTAATGCGAAAATATGTTTTATAGGAATGTATATGCAGAGCCTATATCAGATTGCGCGCCATCTTGTGGGGGGGAAGAGAAATTTAAAACTCAAATGCTTATGGAAGTGAGTGTTGATAAATCAAAATAAACTAATTTAAAGAAAAAAGAAAACAAATGTCCTTGGAAGGGGGAAGATTTAGAAGTCAAAATCTTATAAAAGTGAATGTCGAAAACTAAAAATAAATAGATAAATTAAAAAAAAGACAAATGTGGGGGGGGGTCAGTGAGACACACGTTTCTAAAAATAAATGTAATTAATTTAAAGAATTGGGTTGGCCAGTTTCAGTCGTTTTCTTTGCATCCTCCCTTTGAACAGTGTTTCCAGGGGAGATGTGAGACCGCCATTTCATTGGCCAGTGGCAGCTTCTCTTCTGGCCTAGGGCCTGTGATGTTTTTATGGTGACATCAGGTGTAGCGGGTTCTGTCTAGTGACTGCTGGGTTTCAGAGTGACAGAGTTGTAACGGCCCCTTTTTTTTCTGAGTTCAGCCACAAAGTCTTTCTGCTTTGTGTGTGAAAATGCCTTCTGCCTACGAAAGGTCAGAGCTGGAGAGAAGGGCTTTCATTTGAGCAGATGGAGGACAGATGCTCGCACCTGGGCCCTCGAGCACTGATTGTCGAAGTCCGACCAGTCACTGTAGTGCGTGCGGGTGCTGGCCTCTCCCCTCCAGAGATGGGGATCAGAAGGATGCCGGGGTGGGGATTTCGTCAGGATGATGACGGCATTCCCAGCGGGTGCTGGGCAGCAAACACCAGCTCCCTCTGGACTTTTCCCTGTCTCCCATTGGGTGGTGAGGGAAGAATTTTCACTTTTGATAAATGCATCTTTCTATCTGGTGAAAAAAGTGTTCAGGGGAAGGGGAATGGAAAGGACAAAGTTTTTATTAGGCACCTACTGTATACCAGGCACTATGCTAAACACCTTACAAGTACCTTGTTCGATCCTCATGACAACTCTGAGAGATAGGTGCTGCTTTTAGCCATTTTACAGAAGAGGAAACCGAGGCAGACAGAGGTTAAATGATTTCTCCAGGGTCATACAGCTAGTATGTGCCTGAGGCTGGATTTGAATCTAAGTCTTCCTGGCTTCAGGCCCAGCTCTCTATCCACTATTTTCTTTTTATTTATAAAGAATTTTCTTAGCTCATTGATCTTAGTTTGAAATGGCATTTTTCATGATAGGGAACAAGATTTTATTATATGGAGATTCTAAGGGTTCCTGGACTGGATTTCAGGGTGTCAGTGAACTTGGATGAGGAAAAAATGACCTTGTTATTTTTATTCACCTCAGCCTGAAATTTAGCTTTTCTCCCAATGAGGAGTGGCCGTGCAGAGCTGTGAAGAGCCCCTCCCTGTCTCAGGGGCTTCTCTGAGGGGGAGCGTGAGGGCGACCTTATCATCTGGGGCAGCCAAGCAGGGCAGGGATCTTGTTCCAGGCTAATCTGTGGAGCGGCGGGCCACTCCTTTGTTGTCAGTAAGGCTCCAGGCAGTGGGGGATGCCCTGCTGCGGGACCTGGGATGGGGGGGGGGGTTGTCGCTGCTTCTCGGGGAGGCCTGCATGGGCGCGTGGGCTCTCCTTGGGGTGAGGAGCCTTTGCCTCCGTTTTCTGGGCAGAGGTCTTTGTTTATGAACGCCTAGCTGAGGAGAAATTGTTTCTGGCTGAGACTCCATGTGGATGAACACATGGATGGCGGTCTTTGCGGCCGAGGGGGCTCCTCCCTTCCTTTTCCACCTGCAGAGGCTGAGCAGAGTTGATGCTGGGCCGTGATGTAAGAACCCCAAGCAGCTCGGCTGAGGTTCAGGTTCAAACCTTTCAGTACGTCCGTCTTCTCCCATTCAGTCTTTGTCCTTTAGGGATGGGCTACTGAGATGGTCCCTGTAGGTATTCTGACCATAAGGCTGTGTGCTCCTGTTTGGGGAGCTATGGGCTGAGGGGGTGCTGAGCCTGGCTTCCTAAAGGCTCGGCTGACTCCGGGGGACCTCCAGGCCTGTTATCCTCTTATCTGAGGAAGAGCTCCACTGGCCACGTTGGGGCAGCATATCCTGAGCCGGGCAGACCTTCCCGGGTTAGACGGGACCACGTACTGTGGTCATCACCTGCTAGGCCCTGGGGCAGGGTGGTGATGGTGATGGTGACAGTGGGGGTGGGTGGAACATGCTCAGCGGTGAGAGTTTTTGGCCACAGAGATTCCTGAAGAAGGAAGGCCCACACTGATTAAAAGCAGGTCCTTGGGAAATTGGTTTTGTGTCAACATTCTGGAATGGAGGAATCCCGGGTCATCCCAGCCAGACAGATGCACTCTGTGCCTGGGGAGCAAGCCCCTGAGCTTGGGTGGGGCCTGGAGGATGAGTGGATGCACTCTGGCATGTGGCCTGGCAGGGGTTTGGGCCTGCAGACAGGTGGCTTGGACTTTGCAGGGTCAGAGAGGATGCACTTTGCTGAGCTGACCTTTGGAAGCTGCATGCTGATGTTTTTACATAGCCGTCCCATGGGCCTCCCTTCCAGGAGCTTGGGCCTCACCCGGCCCGACCGCAGAGCCATCCTTTGCTTCCTCGGTCTGCTCATTTGCTCTGTGGTGGCTTCTGGGGGCGATCATCCCCGCTCTTCAGTCTTCTTCTGCTTCTCACTCTCTCCAGCATCTCCGTCTTCACACCAGATGCTGGTCAGTCCCTCCGGTAGCTTCGCTCTTTGCTGGGCCCCGTGCCAAGTGCTTGGGATAGAAATGCCTTGGTGCTGACTAAGGCATCAGTCACAAAGTGCTCAGACTCCTTCCTGCCATCCCCAGTTGGGTCGAAATGCTCATTTTATGGCTGTGTTAACAGAGACAAAATCACTGCAGAGTCACATGAGGGACTCCTGGGGGTGGGGGGGGGACACTGCTCTGGGCGTCATGTAAGAGGGAGTGGCGTGCCATTGAGTTTTATTGTTTGCTCGTTCAGCAAGCATTTATTTCTCGGAAACTGATAACTGTTCCATAAATCTTGATATTGAACGTTGATTCAGTGTTGCCACCAGCCACTGGACAATGAATTCATCCTGGGTTTGTTTTTAGTAGCCTGACTTCCTGCTGAATGGTCCTAGCTTGTGCCTCAGTGCTGTGACCAGGCTGTGATCTCCTTGGCAGGTAGCTGGGCAGGGGCCTCAGGGACCATCTCATGCGCCCTGTGGCTGAATTTTTACCTTGTCGGGTCTGACGAGAGGTTCTCCAGCTTTAGCTGGGAGAGCAGCAGTGAAGGCAGCCCGAAGAGACTGGAGGTAGGCAGTCTCGCTGGCAGCTGAGCAAAGGGCCGGGCATGAGGCGTCCTGCGTCAGAGTGGCGGCAGCGTGAGGGGAGGAGGGCTGGGAGAGCTGCGAGAGCTCCAAGGAGAGTGGTCAGGATTTTTGATGAGGAGCTGAGGATGGTACCTGGCTCAGGAGCCTGGGGCGCGGGAGGCTGGTGGTTCCCTAGACAGTGATGGGGAAGTGGGAGGGGGAGGGGGTTGGGGGAAAGGTCACAAGGTCAGTCTTGGCCGTGGTCAGATCCGCTTTGAGAAGGCCAGTAGGCGAAAGGAGATTTGAGCCTGGAGCTCAGGAGAGAGTCATCGGCATCGAGATGGTAATTGAACCTGTGGGAGCTGATGAGATCACCAGGGCCAGTAGGACCCAGGGGAAGGGAAAAGGGCTCCGGACAGAGTCAGCAGGGACACCCCCAGTTAGTGGGGATGGTCTGGGTGACAGTCCGGCAGCGGAGGAGAGGCTCGGCCGAGCAGGGAGCCAAAAGCAATGAGCGGCAGGACAGTGTCGAGAGAAGGAAGGTCTTCTATATATTACGTAAGCCTAGTCCGTCTTTTGAGCCATCCATGTGGATCTCCTCTGGAGCCCTTTAAAATGGGCCTCTCCCACGAAAGTTGGCCGTCTCATCTGCCGTCAGCCTTCACTGCTGGCTCTCCCTTCCTTCTTTCTTCAGCTCATCCATGTGGTGTGCCCTCCTGGCTGGCCTCCTTTGGACGTGGTCCTTGTGAGGATGTGGCGCGTTCTGTCCTGACCAGGAAACCGTACCTTTGGCTCCTAGTGCAGCTTAGGGCTGTGCCACATTGAGAGTTCCTACAGGAGCTGTTGGCCCCTTTCCCCTTTGGGATTTGTTTCACCCAGGCTGTGGAACTTGACATTTGTCTCGACCCCATTTCATCTTCTTTGATTTGGCCAATCAGGCTGGCTTGCTGAGACCATCTGCCCGCCCTGGGCATGCTGGGTAAGGTGGCTGTCTTTGGAGGCAGTGCTGATGAGCCTGTGTGGGGGAGGCAGAGGAAGGAGTCAGAAGCCTGTGTTCCAGGCCCACCTTTGACTCTTACTTGGGCAAGTCATTGAAACCTCCCAACGCTGAAGTCGATGAGTGGGAGCTCCTGGAGGGCAGGGACTGTTTGATTTTTGCATCTTTTTTGTATCCTAGGATGCTGCCTGGCCCCTCGTAGGTGCTTAGTAGTAATCTGTGTTTACATGGACGCTGTGGTCTGAGTCTTTTCCAACTCAGGGTCTTTGACTGATCCCCTTCAAGTCATTAATGGCGTGATGCCAAGGCCGAGACCCCTGAGACACTGTGGAAGGTGTTCTTGGTCCAGGCTTTCAGCCAGTACTGCTCTGCCAGGGGACTCAGGAGACTTTGTCAAATGCGTTGCTGAAACCCGAGGAAGAGATTGAAGGGAGCAGGTAGGCAGGCATCAGCAGCAGCATCCTTCTGCCTCCTTACGCCTCAGTCCTGGCTTCGAGACAGAGATGACAGGCAGCTTGGTGCCGTCATCCAGTTAGCCCTGGACCTGGGGTCAGAGCAGTGCGGGTTCGAATCCTCCTTCAGATGCTTCAGTGGCCGTGGAATCCTGGGGAGCTCACTTCACTGTTTCCCTTCCCCCGCCTGTGAAATGGGGATGACAGAGTTTGTTGTGAGGCAGGGCTGCACGCCATGAGGCCCTCGATCTAGTGAGTGTTACAGTCACAAACGCCGCCCCAGATGGAATTTGCTCTCTCGCCAGTTCTGAGGCGCTCTTGAGTCCCATGGAGTTTGAAGTCCCCTGAGTGAAATCTTCAGATTCCCCACCTCTGGGCTTCTGGCCCCCCTCCTTCCAGAGGCCAGCTTCTTGCCAGCGTGAATCTACTTGCTCTCTTTTCTCTTCTGGGGGCTGCAGTGGAAATACAGAACCCTTTTCACTGGGGTCCCTGAGGAATGGCCACCTGGGCATTTGTGCAGCTCTTCCAGGCTCAGGGGGTGGGGAGGCCGGTCTACTGGTGGGACCTTTTTGGGAGAAAGCTCTTCATTGGGTGCAGAGTGCCCCAGATGCCCCTGCACCTTTCCCTGAGGACCCTTCGCATATTTGAAGCCTGCGCTCCCTCGACACCCCACACATCACATCTCTGTGCCCTTCTTTTGGGGTGCTCCCATTGCAAGGAGCCTGGCCTCCAGAAAGGATCTGACCACCTTGGGGGAGAAGGGTGTGGCCTCAGGGGTCAGGAGAGCTCGAGGACTTTGTCCAAGGCCAGGACAAGGGTGAGGGGCAAAAAAACAAGCCAGGGTTTGAGCGTGCCTTCTGATTCCCAGTTTGGTGTCCCTTTAAAGGAATGTTGGCTGACCCTCCTCACGTGGGCTAGCAAGCAGAGAGCATAGCTCACCTTCATGATGCTGTGTACCATCTCTTCTACCTTAGCAAAAGGGTCTGGGAAACTCGGGGGTGTAGGGCAAGAGTGCTGGGCTTGGTGTCAGTGCGGAGAGCTGTTTGATCCATGGTGATGGTTCTGGGCCTTCCTCTGACCCCTGGCATCCTAATGGCTGGGAGCAAAGCTCTTCCCTCTTGACTGAGGCAGGAAGCTTACTTACTTTCTGTGGGTTGTTTGCAAGTCTGCTAAAGGCAACACTTGGTTTCTGTTCTTTTTCAGGCAAGAGTAAGGAGGCGGAGATCAAAAGGATAAACAAAGAACTGGCCAATATCCGATCGAAATTCAAAGGTGAGTAAGCAGGGCAGCTTTCTCCCCCAAGGTGTCTTAGACTCAAGCCATTTGTCCAGTGGCTTTGCTATTGTTCTCTCTCTCTCTCTCTCATGCTGTTCTCCCTAAATCAGAGGTGGGCATTTTGTCACCAAGGGCCCAACCTTGAGGAGGAGTCATGAGTAGGGTCGAGGCAGGCTTTGGTAGATGGGACTCTCACCTGTCACAGGAAGTGGGCTGAAAGCTGCCCATGGTACTGGATCCTGCTGGCCTTAGCGGTGGCTGGGCCCTGAAAAGCACTC